AATAGAAAAAAAAAGACATAACACATTACTACTGACACCAAATGATGGAGCATTAAAATACATAAAACAATCAGCAGAACTAAAGAATGACATTAACAGCAACGTAAGAACTGTAGCGGATTCTCCATTCTCAATCATGAGTAGTCTGACCAGAGGATAAAGAAACACTTTACTTAAATAATGAACCAGACCAGATGGGCTTAATAAACATTTATAGTGCATTCCATGCCGAAACAGCAGAATTTACATTTTCCTCAAATGCACAGAAAACATTTGAAATGTTACACTTAGCAAGACTAAAATCATACCAACTATTTTTTTTTCTGATTACCACAACCTTAAAACTTGGCTAGAGGCAGCAAGCACCATAGGTGAATATACCCCAAGCATGGTCTGAGAGGATGCTGCAGATGGATGTGTTTAGCTTTCAACAAGCTTCACTTGCAGAACCTTCCCCCAAGGTTCTATCTCCAGTGGTCTCTACCACGGGGTGGTAGACTAAGAAGCTGGTTGCTATTCTGGACAGGCACTGGTTTGAAAGGCATTAAGGGCTGATCACTGCATTAGGAACCCCTGTAGCTGGTGTGTTGGGTGATCCACCCTTCAGCCTTGGCTCCCTCAATCATTTCTTTTGGTTTTGGGGGGGTCACACCAGGCAATGCTCAGAGGTTACTCCTGGCTTTGCACTCAGGAATTACTCCTGTAGGTGCTCAGTGGACTGTGTGGGATGCTGGGGATTGAACCCAAGTTGGCCGTGTGCAAATGCCCTACCTGCTGTACTATTGTTCTAGCCCCTTTGTATGATTTTTCCCAGCATGTTATATACCCTTACCTGTATCTGTCTGTCCTATATCTCTGCTCCCAGCTGTTCTGATGTTCTCCAAAGGAGGCTTCTTCTATTTTCCACATCTTTTTGTATGTGTTCCCCTCATCAGTGTCCAGGTACTTGGGTACTTGCTGCTCCACCTTCCAGGTGAGATCAATCTCCAGCTGACATCATCAGCTCTACTAAAAATGGGAGGCACAGTCCCTCCCTTCTGACTAGATCCTGGCAGTCTCCACCTTGATCTTCACTATATTAGTGTGGAATATGTATGTTCCATGCCACATATCCCATTTCACACAGCAAATCTTACATTGCTTACAGTTATACTTCCTGTCACTGGGTGAAGGCAGATAGGGAAGGAATAGAGCAATATAGCCTAATCTCATAGCAATACAGCCTAATCCCTAATCCCCTAATCTCCCAGGGATTCTAACTACAAATACTCATCCTTGGCACAGCAGGAACACTGAGAAACCAATGGGAAAAACATGAAGTTCACCAAATTCAAGGAGCAAAAACCATAAAAGAAAAGCAGGCACAACTAACACAACCAAAATGGCCAAATATTACCAGAAGCAATATATTCAATGGGATCCCTAACGAAGTTTTAATGATACTGGTGAAACAGATATAAAATTTATATGGAACTACAGAAGACCCAAATAATGAAAGCCATCTTCAGGGAAAAAAAATTAAAAAATGGAGGCATCATGTTACTTGACTTCAAACTATCTTATAAAGCAATAGTAACCAAAAGAGCATGGCACTGGAATAAAAATGGACATATAGACCAATGAAATAGAATTGAGCTCGGATGTAATCCACACAAACACTGATGATTATGACAAGTAGTAGCACTGTAGTACTGTCCTCCTGTTGTTTGTTGATTGACTCGAGCAGGCACCAGTAATGTCTCCATTGTGAGACTTGTTGTTACTGTGTTTGGCATATCGAACACATCACAGGTAGCTTGCCAGGCTCTACCATGTGGGCGAAATACTCTCGGTAGCTTGCCGGGCTTTTCAAGAGGGGCGGTGGAATCAAACCCGGCTTGGCCAGGCCAGCAGCCTGCAAGGCAAATGCCCTACCGCTGTGCTATGGCTACACAAACACGAGACAGGGATGAATGAAGACGTTACTGGTGCCGGCTCAAGCAAATCAATGAGTAACGGGATGTCAAGTGATTAAGTAATCAAGTGATCAAGTAATGAAAAATAATGGAGAAAAATCTCTTTGATATATGGTTTTGGACTAACTGTGCACCTGCAAAAGAATGAAATACACTCATTCTTTAATTCAACAAAATATTAATTCAAAATAGATTAAAGACGTAGGTTTAAGAAGTCATAAAATAAGAGAAGAAAACACTGGTGATATATATCAGGATATCAGCATTAAAGATTTGTTTGTGGCCTTGATGCCAAAAGCAAGGGAAGCAAAAGAAAACATATATATATAAACAAAACAAGGAAAAACCTCAATGGAAAAATTAGCAATGTGAATAAACACTTGTCCAAAGACATATAGATGGTTCAAATGTCCAAAGACATATAGCATGTGTAACAATGCTTGTCATCAGTATTAGGAAAGTGTAGATCAAAATCACAATGAGGTATCATTATCGCTCACCTGGAAGACTGCTGTATATCAAGAAGGTAAGTGACAAGTGTTAGGGAGGGTATGGCAAGAAAGGAATCTACATACTCTTAGTGAGAATATAAATGGGTGCAGAATGTTATATGCCCCACAATGCTTACTGCAGCATGATATCTATTGGCTAAAATATGGAAACAACCTAGTTGCCCACTGATTTATAACTGGATCAAGAAGATACTATAACTGGATCAATAGAATACTATTAGAATACTATTCAGCTAATATATGTGATGGCATAACACACCATGAAATATTATTCAGTTAAAAAGACGAAATTTCGCTATTTGCTGCAGAATCAAACTAACTCAAGGAGATTATGTGAAGTTAAATCAGTCACGAAGGAGAAAGTCAAAGGTTGGATAATTTTACTTCTAGGTACAAAATAAAGAAACAAGAGAGATAAACAAAATAAAGTAAAAAAAAAATTAATGGAATAGAACTGTCGTTCTGTTGTTCATTACAACCGAACTAAGGTTGAAGGAAAGTGGATGGCAGTACTAGGCCAGGGTAGAATAAGTCTAATGAATGGTGATGGTTGTTTTATTAATTAAACAAATTTTAAAAAATGTCAGAATAGCAATAAGTAAGTAAAGTAAAGTAAAGGCCCTCCCGTTGATCATCGATTTGCTCGAGCGGGCCCAGTAACGTCTCCATTGGAGACTTTGTTGTTCCTGTGTCTGGCATATCGAATACTCTCGGTAGCTTGCCAAGCTCTCCGAGAGGGGCGGAGGAATCGAACTCGGGTCGGCCATGTTGGCTGCGTGCAAGGCAAACGCCCTACCGGCTGTGCTATCGCTCCAGCCTTAAGTAAATAAGTAAATATGCAAATATTTACTTATATTTGCGAGATCGGGGCTGGAGCGATAGCACAGCGGTAGGGCGTTTGCCTTGCACGTGGCCAACATGGCCGACCCGAGTTCGATTCCTCCGCCCCTCTCGGAGAGCTTGGCAAGCTACCGAGAGTATTCGATATGCCAGACACAGGAACAACAAAGTCTCCAATGGAGACGTTACTGGGCCCGCTCGAGCAAATCGATGATCAACGGGAGGGCCTTTACCTTTACCTTTACTTATATTTGCATATAAGTAAATATGCAATAAGTAAATAAGTAAATATGCAATAAGTAAATATACTTATTGCATATTTACTTATTTACTATTTACTTAAGCATAAGTAAATAAGCAATAAGTAAATATGCAAATATTTAGAGTAACGAAATGATAAAATCCTAATGAACAGTGGTGAATTACTGAGTTAGGTTTTTACTATTATTATTTTTTGAATGGTTTACTGATAGACCAGAGGTTCAGTCAAAAGAGTATCTTTTCTGCATGCTGAAAATAGACTACAGACCAAACATGATTGCCACTCAGTGCCTCTTTTGCAAACCACAGCACCCAAAAGGAGAGAGAAAACAAAAGGGAATGCCCTGCCACAGGGGTGGGGGGATGGGGGGATGGGAGTGGGAGGGATACTGGGATCTGTGGTGGTGGGAAATGGGCACTGGTGGAGGGATGGGTACTCAATCACTGTATAACTAAAACCCAAGCACAAAAAAATTGTAAGTCTACAATTACAATACAATAAAAATTGTAAGTCTATACCTGTACCACATGGTGTTTCACTAATAAAAAAAAAAAGCATCTTTTCTTCAGGAGATTACCACCATACCACTCATTGCTGAAAATGGGTTTACATGGAAACTGTTCTCTTCCTGCTATCTTGTTGAAAAAAGTCACCTACATACATATTAAACCAAAGGAAAATGGTGAGCAAAGGCTTAAATAAAGAAACCAGGGTCAGCCTTGAGTCCTGATTTCCCCAAGTCCAGCGTTCTCCTGGCAGGAAACACATGGCAGCATTTGATGAGTGCAGAAGTTGTTGGTGTTGCTGGAGAATCAAACAGTGAATGATACTTCCTGGGAGGGGCAGAGAAACCCACCAATGACCATGCCAGCAATGAGGTAACTTCAGGGGGGGTCTGTAATCATGGGCAATCCAATTCTGCACTGGATCAGAACAGAATCCTTTCTTTATTTTTGGTCGAGGGGGGTGCCTGGGGCGGTCACACCTCACTATGCTCAGGGATTATTCCCGGCTCTGCACTCAGGAATTACTCCTGCGAGTGCTTGGGGTACCATGTGGGATCGATTTGGGTTGGCCATATGCAACGCAAGTGCCCTACCCACTTACTCTCTCTCTGGTCCTGAAATTCATTTTCAAGAAACTGTAAAGCATGTGAGCGATAGAGCGAGATCAGTAAGAGCACAAAAGAAACAGATATGCCTGAAAGATAGCACAGAGGGTAGGGCACTTGTGCTGTATGCAGTTGACCCTGGGTTCAATCCCTGGCACCCCATATGGTCCCCTGAGCATTTTCCGGAGTGATTCCTGAACACAGGGCCAAGAGGAATCCCTGTGTATAGGTGAGTGTGTCCAAACACTCTTCCTTCCCCATCTACCCCCAAACGCGCCCCCCCCGCCTGCCCCCACCCCACAAAAGAAACAACACACTGATCAGAAAATAACAAGGACTCTTTATAAACTGGGGGTCTAAATTATTTCCTCTGTTTTAAAATAGAAATGTAATTAAGTAATACACTTAGAATCCCCGGTTCTTCGTGAATGGCTTCTTAAGGAGTGTAAAAGTCTCAACGTCAAGAGTGATGGCGATTCTCTGGTTCACATATCCATGACCTAGATCAAGTCCAGCTGTGAACAAGAACAACAGATTAGATGGAACCAGACCTGAACAGGGCCTCACAAGTAACAGAACTTAAGTACGAAGGCTCTCTTTCCAGGTGGAATGCCTGGGCTTGCACACTTATTACCTAGAAGTCTGCTAGGGACAAAAATACCAAACATCTCCTCATTACAATACGAAGAACTTCTTCCCCAAAAAACGCTGAGTGATTTTTGCTGGACAGCTGTCATACAAGCCTTAGAGGCGCAAAGTTTCTAAACATGGAACATGTGCATGAGACTTGCTCTTCCAGCCCATGTTCTCCCAGGAACTTCTATCTCACTAGTTTGTCTCTACTGCTTGCTTTTCCCACTCTAGAGAAGCTCATCTTCTCTCTTGAACACACACATGCTTCCTCTCTTTCTCTCCCCTCACATTTTTCTAAGTAAGTTTCAATTAAAACTATCTTGCTTCACTAAATAAATAGATATGTGCATGAACACCATGTCTTCTATGGGCATCCGGCCATGGTGTGATCATTCCGAGTGATCCCCAAATGTTTATCAGTCTGTTTTGTTTATACTAAGTTAATTGCGACCATTGGAGAATTTGAATTTTTAAAAAGACGGTGTTTTATTTGTCAACCCACACAAATTGCATGTTGTATTGCTTATTTTGGGCGAGAGCAATTTTGGTAAAGTGTACCATTTTGCTTCTAAAGGAATAGCTTCCTCAGCTCTTTTTTTTTTCAGTTCTTCAAAAGAGAGGATTAAACCGAATGAACAACATAACCGAAATCACAGAGCACAAGAATTTCCATTACGAAGTGACTCACCTGAGTAAACTTCTAATGACATAAGTAATAGTGAAGGGCACTTGCGGTGTGTTAGGAATTAAACATAAACAAGAGACAGTCAATGACAGATAAGCAGCCTTAGAGGCGGTATTTGTAGATCACATGATTTAAATCATTAGAACGTCTAGTACATATTAAAGTTACTTACTAAATCATCCACATCACCACCTTCCTCAGGCATGGCTGCTTTTTCATCATTTGTGTTTTCTTTGGGGGCCAGAAACTGTGAAAAGAAAACCAGATAAAATACCAAAATAACAAGTTCTCCTCTTTCTTTTCTCTGTTTTTTTAGGCCATACCCTGCAGTGCTCAGGGCTTACACCTGGCTCTGTACTCTGGGATCACTCCTGGCAGGCTTGAGGGGCCATATGGATAGAACCCAGGTTGGCTGCTTGCAAGGCAAGCACTTTGTCCGCTATACTCTCTCTCTAGCTCTTGTTTTCCTGTTCTAATGAAGGAATAATCTCCTAGCATTATATGCAAACTAGAGAAGCTTGCTCGTTAGCGAAGTCTCATTGAAAACGGTCCAAAGGAATAGCAAGTTGATGCATGCAGCTTCACTGGGTTCTGGATAAAATGACTAAATTTGAGGTTGAACAGTTCAAACTAGCTACTGCAGAGAGACCCTGCGAAGAGGGAGAGACTGTCTAGAATCAGTTTAGAATTTGTGTCTGAGACCTGGAAATTCTGAGACAGACTCTGCAGAAAGAGGTCCTCCATGAAAGACTGTAAGAGACCAGATAAAACCCAGATTTCAGGGGCTGGGGAGATGGTACTCAATCACCCTCCCGAACTTTTTCTCTTCAAAGTCACTTCACCCTTCATTCTCTTGGGTTTTGACTGAGAGTTTAAATTTTTTTCCAAAAACATTTTATGGATCTTGCTATCACTCTTCATTGATCCTAAACTGGATTTTGGTGAATGCTGGAAACCAATGCGTGTAAGCGAGAGAAAATGCCAGCAATGCAGGTACAGTTTGGAATAAATGTAAAGCAGTTTGTGTGTCATTAATTCCATTGTACTGGTTGATTAATAATAAAAATACTTATAGGCTTAAAAACAGATAAAGTACCAAACACATATGTATTTGCACATGATTGATGTCTAATGATTAAATTATATGATCTTAGATCCCTAAATTAATCTTTATGCATCTTCAAATTGTCAGTATTAGATGATTTTAATTTTGTTCCTCTCCCCTTTTACTCACTGTCATTAACCCGCATGCGATGTCCCTTTCATCACTAGTCTGTGACTGATGGATAGGACTTACCCAGATGGGGTGCACAGAATACAAATTAAAGCTGCTCTTACAATAAATCTCTGTAGGGTCACACATGACCAGCCCCTTCCAAGCCCCCAGGGCGCAATGGTTCCACAGTCTACTACATCTTTCATTATTATTCCTTTGTAGCACAATATGTGGCAGGTATTTGCTGATGACTTTAGGAAGTTCCTAACGTTTTCTGGCACCAAGTCTCCAACAGCCTCAGCTTCTCTCCATTGGCTATTCGCAAAGCCCCCTCTGCACTGCAATTTCAGGATAAATTAAGACAGAACTGCTGCACAGTGTGGGCATAATACATACAATTCAATACAAGTGGCACAACTCTGAGATGAGGCCAAGTTCCTAGGGAAGAAAGTAGCAGCAGCAAACAAACTCTCATTTCCATCAAGCATATAAACATCTGCAGCTGATTTTCCATCAGACAGATCTGCTTCACATTATTGGCTAAGCAAATTACGGCTAAAAGCTAGGCTGCCATCCATTTTCCTTCCCAAAGCCCCAGGCAAGCCTGGTCTTTTATACACATGACTCCTCATCATCTGAGCTTTTAACTGCAAGTAATTTCCAGGCTTGCAGGAACAGGGAAAGTAGTGATATCTAGCAGAGAATTCAATTATTGGCTTGCTTTCACAATAAAAGCAACAGTTTCTCTGAAGGTAGTCAGAAAGAAGTAGGAGTCAATTTTCATCTTTCTTTATATTCTTTTCCTTAGCAATATGCTATAAAAATTTCTGTGATAAAATTCGTCCCTTTGTAAACCAGCGTCATTTACTTGGGGTTACCAAGAAATAACGTCCTTACTTGGAGAACTTTGGGCTGGAGCGATAGCACGGCAGGTAGGGCATTTGCCTTGCACGTGGCCGACCCGGGTTCGATTCCTCCGTCCCTCTTAGAGAGCTGGGCAAGCTACTGAGAGTATCCTGCCCACATGGTAGAGCCTGGCAAGCTCCCCGTGGTGTATTTGATATGCCAAAAACAATAACAACAAGTCTCACAATGGAGATGTTACTGGTGCCTGCTCGAGCAAATCGATGAACAATGGGAGGACAGTGCTACAGAGAATTTTATGATCCTGACCACAAGTAGAAAAATGGTATTAAATAATCTCCATACCATTCCTAAGACTGAAAAACTCTCAGTGTGTGCTCTGACCCATATCAATCCCCAAATCAATAACATATGGCCTCTTTTGGCTCTCAGAGAATCACCAGGATGCAGATGTATAGAAGAAGAAAGCAATATTTGCATGCTTTTGTCTAAAATGACAAAACGCGTGGTTTCATCATGCCACCTGTAGCTTAGTTCATACTACTTAAGCTCTAGAGCACGGCAGAGAAATCCTGCAGCTCAGCATGGGAGCAGAAACATCGCCAGAGCTTTGTCAGTTCCTTAGCGACCCTTGGTAAACTGGTTTTCCCTTATATAATTTTCCCCCAAATTAAAACAGAAATTCCACCACTCATCTATCAACTGTACTTAGCTGTATCAAGTTTTAAACAAAGTACTTTTATTTTTATAAAGTAAAAATGCTTCACGGTATTTATTAATATTTTTACTCTAACTCTAGAAATAAACTCAGCCTATATCCATGAAATGTCATAAACGAAAGAGCCATAGTATTTTCATTCCTAGTTTACAGGGTTTGAAAACAAAAAACAATCGGATCTCCATTATCAAGAGAATGGAATACTACATAGCTTTATTAAAGAATGAACATTCTAACAACTGGATAATTATATGAAGGATAGTAGGCAAAATTGCTCTCCACTGACAGATCTCAAAATAGTGGTTATTCTAAGGGACATGGAGTTTCTGACAGGGAAGGGCACTGGAAAATGCATCTTCATGGGTGATGTAGAGGTGATCTATATTTTGATCTGGGTGAGGGTTATCCAGATGGTTATCCAGAATTCATCAAGTTGCCCATTTAAGATATGTGCAGTTACTGTATATGTTCCACCTCAATAAAAATTTGTAATTGTCTTAAAAGTATAAAGGGCTAAAATATAAAGCAACAATGTGATATTTTCTATGTTGCTTTTCTTGCCCTAGACTATAGGTATAGAACAAGTACTCTAGGGATTTAAGGCAAAAATATAGAAAGAAGCAAAAGAAAATATCATGGGGGTCTAAGAGGGGCCAACAGAGATAACTATCCTCAAGAATTGTTTCTTAAATTTTATCTTTTCTTATTCTTTAACAGACCCTAAAGATTTCCTTATACGTGCAGACACACAAAAATGTTTGTAGTCATGCAGGAGGAAACACAAGCATCCTTTCTTTAGGTAGATTGGCTAGTGGCGTCCTCTAAGGGGGTGGCATGGACAGGAAGTACTATGAAGTGGCCGAAAGATGGCTAGAATAAGAGTCTAGTGAGTGCTTCTAGGCTTGTTTTAGACTTGTGAGATGCTGCAATGGCCAACTCCTCCATCTTGCTCCTATCTGTGAAATGACCAGCATGCCAAGGTCTGAGTGTCTACAAATGTGGGAAATAAATGCCAACCAGGCGGTCATAAGGACAAGTGCCAAAAAGGTGCCCACCTCCCCCCATCCCCAAGCTTGTATCAAATGATTATTTAGATAGAGCTCACTCTCTTGGAATGCCATGAGAAACACATTCTCCTGCCATGGTGGGGGAAAAAAATGCACTTTCCCTTCTGTGTTCAATGGAAAGCGCTGCCTTTATCTGGTTTATATATCAGGCTTCCTTGTAAGCTTTCAGTTTTAAAAATAAAAACTCAGCTAGGAGACCATTAGGATTCTTTCCAGCGGAATAAAATTCTATACAACTTCAGCCAATGTTCTCTGCCTTAGTTAAGAATCTGGCTTGTTTAATGCTTCTGGCTCTGTACTTCTCCACAGTCATCATCAACTTTGGGGGCTTCTCTGCAGTCATCACCCAAAGACCACACTTTGCCGTGGAGCTGTGTGTGCATTGTGGGGATGGGGTACGGGGTGAGGATGTGTGTGTCACAACAGCCATGGCCTCTGCCCACAAGGAGTGGGTAGCACAATCCTTGGTGGAAACAGGAGAAATGTTTCCAGGTATTGGCAATGGTATCCTGGGGTCAAGCGTAACTCCTGAATGAGAGACACTACTGTCATCCCAATGCATGCTGGCAAGAAGAAATTCAAAGCAAAACAAACAAGAACCTTCCAAAACACTTTAAGTACAGAATCAGCCCACCCTGACCTTTTCATAAGCCCAGATCTTGCTCTCAGATGGCCTGGGACTAAAGATTTCCTAGCTGCTCCTGGCATGTTCAGGGAACAGCATCACACGTCTACCCAGCAACGGCCAGGTAGGAGCCACACAGAGCTACACGTACACACACACACACACACACACACAGACGCTGCCACACCTCACATGGAGAGCACTTGTCTAACAATGAGAACCAGGGGCAGGAAAGGCTAAACAAAGAACTGACAGATGGCAGTGACAAGATAAAAGAATCAAAAAGGACAGTGTTCATGATTGGGCTTCACGCTGAAGAGAGAGGTATCCGTAAACTTAAAAGAACCTTTCATTCCTGCGGCGTTGCTGACTTACCTACATTCCTGAAAGACTCATAAAGTCTACAAGTTTCTAGAAAGATTAAAAAGAAATGGCTTTCTTAACAATATAAAAAGTTACGAGTTCATGTTCAAAATGGACATCCCTGGATAATTATTTCCTTTCAAATCATCAACACTTAATAGCAATAACTCTGGGGGCTGGCACAATAGTACTGAGCAGATAGGGCGTTCGACTTGCAAGCGGCCAACCTGGGTTCGATCTCCGGCATCCCATATGGTCCCCCATGCACCGCCAGGAGTAATTCCTGAGTGCAGAGTCAGGAGTAAACCCTGAACATCGCTAGGTGTGACCCCCCCCCCCCCAAAAAAAAAAACAGAAAAAAAATAGCAATAACTCCAAAGTTTGCTAACTTTAAAGAAGTTATGAGAAATGCTGGAAATTTTTTAATGGACTGTGAGGACTGCTCTTCAATCTTCCTAATTCTAGTCAAGTTTCCTTAATAACCTATTGGGGAAGTGGTCAAGCCTAAGACTTGCTTTGAAGGCAATGCAAATGAAATGCTTCAGTATATGGTCAAGAGTGCTGACACCTCCCCGACTTGGCCGAGAGAAACAGCTGAAGCCCAACTCCCCTACTAAAATCACAAGTAATTCTCAACATCTGTACATATACATGCCCCCTCTACACGTTAAAAATCGACAGAGGTCCATTAGAAACACTTTTAATGCAAAGGATTATTTTTTTTGTGGTGAAAAACAGGGTTTGGGTGTGCTAGAGACGCGGAAACAAAAGTAGAGCCTGCCCAAGTCAGCCCTGATGGGCTGTGCAGTGACGTCAATCTGGAACAAGTTTCCCTCTGCCATAGCTTCTTGTTTCCTCCCTGTTCAAAGAGGGTGAAGTTGTCTGAGCTGCATGAAACCCACTGAAATCAGTTCTGCTGAGATTTGAATCATCTAAGGACACCAACTCATACCTAGGGATACCAGAAATTCCTCTCCGTGGCTTAATTATCAGACATTAAAATTCCTGGTGCTTAGGCTGCGTGCTCTTACATTCTGACGATACTGCGTGTGCAACACAGAAGAAGCCTCAGACGATTTGCAAGAGCTCATTATCCTTTCTTAGATTTCTCTCCTCTCTCTATCCTGGATTCACTTAGCTCTGACATTTTTGGGGGAAGATGTATTGCTAGGAGAGAAAACTACCTATTTTAGATTAGTGCTCCTCGCTTCCTCGAAAAAAATAGTGTTCTGTACTCTACTCTCACCTGGTAATGACAAAAAGCAGTAATGGCTAAAATGAAATTACTTGGCATGAATTACTTAAATTATTTAGCAAAAATTAATTTTGATAAGCCTTTGCCTCGTAACGATTTTTTGTTTTGTCTCAGGGCCACACCTGGGGTTACTTAGGGCTTACTCCTAGTTCTGTACCCAGGGATTATTCCTGACAGTGCTGGGGAGCGGGAATCAAATTGAGGTTGGCAGTGTGCAAGGCAAATGACTTAACCCCTGTACTTATTCACTGACTCTGTATAATGGTTACTTTTACGTCAGCTTGACTTTGACTATGATGCCCAGTTGTGTCAAACATCAGTATAGATTTTGCTACCCAGGGATTGGTTTTTTTTTTTTTTTGCTTTTTAGGTCACACCTGACAATGCACAGGGGTTACTCCTGGCTTTGCACTCAGGAATTACTCCTGGTGGTGCTCAGGGGACCCTATGGGATTCTGGGAATCGAACCTGGCCACGTGCAAGGCAAATGCCCTACCCACTGTGCTATTGCTCCAGCCCCTACCCAGGGATTTTATAAATCTGATTTTAAATATTTATTACAAGCTGACTTTAGGTAAAGCAGAGTACCCTCCCTATTAGGCTTTATCTGATGAGTTGAAGGAATCTTGACTGTAGGTAGAAAACTTGCTCAAGTTTCCAGCTTGTTGGTGTGCCCTACAAACTCAAGATTTTTCAGCTGCCTCAACTCTTTCAAATCAATATCCCTAACACACCCCCTTCCCCCAGCCCCTTAGCTCTCAATCAGCACATCCCATTGGTATTCAAAGAGCCCTGAATGATACACTTCAGTTCAAGAGGGGAATATTATTCTATCATGCTTTTGGATAAGGTTACAAAGAGCCAAGAAGTTAAATGACCTGCTCTCAATGAGCCTATGACACTCTCTGGACTCTAAGGACTCTTTCAGGACTCTTTCATCGTATCTCTTTCACAGATATGATGAAGTCCCTTCTGAGACCATCATCACCAGATATTTGAGTCATTTATGCCTTGAAAATTCCAGGCTCTGGCCTTACTTGGGAGAATGTTATTTTGTCAGTGTCTCCCTCCACTATCTTGAAAGGTACCGTCGACTTCCACCCTAGACAGTTTCTAGGGTGAGAAACTTGTGTCTTTTCATTTGATCTAGCATGGTACTTAATAGAGGCTTAGAATGAAACTGACATAAAAACAGCCAGATATTGTGCTAGTGGGACTGGATGGTAACTTTGTCTGAAGATGAACACCAGGAACCATATATCTTGGGACTATTTAATGTAGATTCATTCAAATTTCATCACAAACTTGAGGGGTATAATGAAGGATTATTGTGCTAAACAGTTATGTGCATTCAACTTACAGATGAAATCAAACTCAACACTGGTAAGCCAAACAGGGAGATTCCGACCGAGCCCTTTGTCTTTCTAAAGGTCACAAGGTATTCAAACAGCTGGTCTTTTACTAAAAACACTTGGATGTACCTTATACTAGGCTACTTGTGCTTCTCTACCTTACTAGTCATTACAATCGCCTATGGAGGTTTAAAAAAACAAGAAAAATCCACATCCAGGACCCATATCAAGACAAATGAATATTGGGGAGAAGCCGGTCATTATTTATTATTTTTTAAAGGTGACCAATGTGTGACCTGGATAGAACTTAGAAATCACATCACTGGGCTAGATAATTTCATGCCTTTTTCCTGGGTCTCGACCAAGCTTGGAATTCAGGAATTCTACAGTTACTGAAGCTGGAATACAGGTAAATTTTAGAAGCACTACGACAGCCTACAGAAATCTGAGATTATCATTTCTTCCACAAGAACATTACAGCCGAAGTAATTTGCTGGTTGGCTGAATAAAGAATGGGTACACTGATTTAGCTTCCCTTACACTTTGACTTCTTGAGGAAAGAAATGGGCATCAAGAAAATAACATTCCCTGCAACGATCCATCTATAGATAGGGAATAATCAATCAATACCTTTTTGGCTTCTTCAGCTGTGACAGAGCTTCCAGCGGCTTCATCTTTGGTGATCAGAGAAATTCCATCTGAAAAGGAATTCACAAGAAAAAGCTCAAATTCAAAGGCAAACCTAATCCTTCCTGCCTTTTGACCACATCTCCTCCCATCTTTGCATTGGAGAATTTTGAAAATATGCAAATATTTTTGTATTTTGTAATCTTCTATAGAAGAACTGGAAAGGCATTTAACTAACACACTGTTCCTTCTGTCTGACATTAGTGATCCTTTCCCTATGTTTCGTACAAAATAAGGGTTGCATCTTAAATGCTACCTGCTCCAAGAGCCTCCCTTAAGTAACCCCAGACAGAAATAAGCTCTTATTCAGAATTTGCAAATCATCTCGTTTATCCTATCGAAATGGCTCGCCCCCATTATATCCTACCCTTAGAACTCTCTTACACATTTTCTCTACCTCCTAACTATCCTTTTCTTGAAGGCAGAGACTAGGTTTTATCATGCCTCACTGGGATATATATTAGAAGCTCAGTACAGGTTTGCCCTGCTCTCCAAAAGGCAAATAGTTTGATTGGTTAAAGTTTAGTGTACTATTTTTGTGTGTATGCCTGAGGACATTATTACCATTAATCTGTGTGAAAAGAAAAATGTATGCATTTCCAGATCCAAAAAAATAAGTCACCAAACTGGCTATAGCAGGTAAAACCTGTAAAAGTTGGTCTGCATACTTCAGTCCAAACTCATTAGTCCTCCGTAGGGGAATCTGTAGGCATTCTGCCTTTCAGCAGTGTCCACTGGCGGTTGATGAAATGGTGAGAGGTGTCAGGTCAGGAGGAAGCATGCGGCCACAGTGGTCATACCCACCATCAAGCACAGCACATCACTTTTGGTTCCATGAGAGCAAATCAAGGAGAGAAAAAAATCTAGCCTCTAGTTTTCTCTTCTTCCAAAGTCTTTCTACTGCTTCGAAGAGCTGATGCTTCAATACATTTTCAGAAAATTACACGCACTAAACATGCAGTTGTACTGAGAAATGGCACAGGTACTACGGACCCTCTCAAAAGTAGGTAAGTTCTCAGAAAATATGTTTGTGTATGTCCTGTAAGCCTATTTTTTTTCTAGCAAACAATATGCTGGAGGCATTCAATAAATACCAAAACCAATCTCTTTCATCTACTGGGTTGGCAGCAGAGACACAAAAGTGATTTGAGTAAGCCCCATTCACCACCTATTCTAATTGCTTTTGCTCCCCAGTGTAGAAGTTAAAGGGCTGAAAAATTAACTGTCAGGACAATGGCTGCCCATGTGATGAAAGGCTGCCTGTTAGAAGCAGGACAGATAGGTATGTGATTCCTTTGTACGGAACTTGCAGGGGGTGGGGGGGGGGGGCAGAAACTAATTTGGGGGTCTGGCTTTAAGTGAAAAGTTTTGTCCTTTCAACACCGTTTTCACTATATATATATATATTTTTTTTTTTCCTTTTTTTTCTTTTTGGGTCATACCCAGCGATGCTCAGGGGTCACTCCTGGCTTTGCACTCAGAAATTACTCCTGGCGGTACTGGAGGAACTACATGGGATGCTGGGGATCGAACCCGGGTCGGCTGCATGCAAGGCAAATGCTCTACCCACAGTACACAATTGCTCCGGGCCCACTATATATATAAATATATATATATATATATAATGGCCCCACAATATATATATATTTTAATAGATAGTACCTGATGTCTGGGCTCTGAAAAACCAAGTCAGTCTCCAAAAAAATGGGCAAGGAGCAAAAAGGGCTTTTATATCTCAAACCTAAAACGAAAAGAACCCAGGAGGCCTTCTTTCCTCAGTTTTGTTTGCATGGTCACTGTGAAAAGTGAGGAACTAAGTGACTCCGGTGGACGAAGATGCTGTCTTGCTGGTTTGGAAAGCCCAGGGACATGAGTGGCAGGGAGCCAACATGGAGGGTGAGGTCAAGGAAAGTGCTGGATATGGGTGAACTAAGAGGGGCCTGTGGACTTGAGAAATGGGGCAACACTGGGCACCCGAGGGCCCTGGAGTGCAGAGCCGCCGGGGGGCCTGCTGTGTTTCCCGGCTGTTTCTCACTCTGAAAATGCTGATTAAAGCAGGTGTTTCAGTGCCTTGGCTCCTGAGCATCTCCTAAATCCCTAGGGAAAGCTTACAGGTTCCCACATAGCATACCACAATATAATTTATATTCAGGAACAATGCCAATAGCTAAAGTATTGGTAGGAAAAGACAAAGGATATCTTACCCTGAACGATGATGTCCCAGAAATGATTTAATTGTTTAATCTCCACCTTTTCTCGAAGGGCCTTCAAGAAATCGTTAAAACGCTTCTCTTCTGAAAACTGTGGTTGTCAAAGCAAACACAAGAACAAGTCATTCCCTGACCAAAGTGCTATATATTCTGAAGCTACCGTATTTATTACAAAAAGATATAGACCCTTCTTCTTGGATGAATGCTAAACTGGAGTTGCAAACTGCAACTTTGTGTGTTAGGAACCCAAAATCTTCCTTCCATGTGCGGAAGGCAGAAAGCTTCCCCGAATCCCACAGAGTTATTTTGGTGGTTCAGTCCTTGTCCTTTTAATTTTTAATATAGGCAATATCAAGCATAAACCGAGAAAAACATTTAATGAATGCTCATGTATCCCTCACCCAGCCTCAATAATTATTAACTTGGCAAATTTCATTTCATCTGCACATGATGCTCAGATGAGTTTGAAGCAGATTTCAATCATATATTTCACCTATAAATATTTCAGCACACAGTATCTAAAATATTTACTTTCAAAAAAATGCTCACAAAAATGAGTAATTCCTCAACAGAAGCCACCAAACAGTCAGTACGCACATTTTTCCAATTAGGAAACATTTTATATTTTTTTGTAATTTATAAAATCTTCATAGTAAGACTCATTTGAGGGTCTGGTGACTCTGAAGTACAGCAGGTAAAAGTTTTTTGCTTTGCATGTGGCTGATCCTGGTTCAATCCCTGATACCATATATGGTTCCCCCGAGTCTGTCAAGAGTGATTCCTGAGTGCAGAGCCAGGAGTAACCTCGAGCACTGCAGGTGTTGCCCAAACTCACCTCTACCCCCAAAACATTGATTTGATATATCCCTAAAATGTCTTCTGTTTCCCCTGCTGATCTTTATGTAGTTCTCCATGTATTTTTTGTTTTGTTTTGTTTTTCCTTTTTGGCTTTCTGGGTCACACCCAGTGATGCTCAGGGGTAACTCCTGGCTCTGCAACCAGGAACAACTCCTGGTGGTGCTCAGGGGACCATATAGGATGCTGGGGATTGAACCGGGTCAGTCATGTGCAAAGCAAACATCCTACCTGCTCTATTATAGCTCCAGCCCCAGCTCTCCAGGTTTTAAAGAACCACAGAACTCCTGTTACTTCTAAAGACTTATGGCAGCAACATTAAACAAAAGTGCTATCAAAACACTTCACCCAGCCTGGGGCAGTGTTGTAAAGCACTGTATTATTCACTACCTTTTCTTTTTTGTTTTTCTGACTTGGGAGTCACATCTAGTGGTGCTCAGAGTTTACCCCTGCCTCTGTACTCAGGCATCACTCCTGGTGGTGCTCCAGAGACCATATGTGACACCCAGGATTGAACTGGGGTAAGCTGCATGCAAGGCAAGTGCTCTAGTGCTTGTACTATCCTTCTGGCTCTTTTACTATCTTTTCCACTTAATCAAATCTCTCTATCTCTGAGTCAGCCTTCATCTCATATTGACTCTTCTTGCCAAAAATTCTGCGTTATTTACAGAGCCTTTTGGTCATTTATTTTTGACTTGTTTACTTTATTCTAATTTTAACACTTTTATTACTACTTTTTTTTAAGTACATAAGCTATTCAAAATTTAACTGGGGGGCCAGAGAGATAATACAGTGGGTAGGAAGCTTATGGGGTAGGAACCGTAAGTAGGAACTACATATGGGGGTCACCAGGAGTGATTCCTGAGCACAGAGCTACAAATAAGCCAGGAGCACAGCAGAACGTGGCCTCCTCTCCTCCCCATGCAAAAATCATTTGTTCATTCAGTCATTGGTTTCCTTCAGAATAGCCCATTCTGGGCCCAGAATGAGAGGACAGTGGGGAGTACATTTGCCCAGAATGCAGCTGACCAGAGTTCGATCCCAAGCATCCCATATGGTCCCTTGAGCACCACAGGGAGTAATTCCTGATTGCAGAGCCAGAAGTAACCCCTGAGTATCACCAGGTCTGACCCAAAAAGCTAACCCTTCTAAGCAATAGCCCATCCTATACAATGACTGAGCCAACAGATGTTACAATGAAAATTCCCCTGGCTCTCCCTATCGGCATCATGTATAGGGGCTATAGTATCAATAAAAACAGGGATAAACGGGGGTGGAGGGATGAGGGGTGGGAGGAGATGCTGGGACCCGTGGTGATGGATGACGGGCACTGGTGGAGGGATGGGCACTTGATCATTGTATAACTGAAACCCAAGCACAAAATTTGTAAGCCTATAACTGTACCTCATGGTGTTTCACTAATAAAAAAAGAAAAAAACAGGGATAAAATACTTCACATTCCCGTGCTCTTACTTCTCCTTCCAGAAATGACACAGAATGGAAAATGAACTAGTCCTCTACCCTCTGCTCATCATACGTTGCTATTTATAGTGAAACGATTTGGGAGGGTTTGGGGGTGGGGTGAGGTGGGGCGAGGGAGCTTCTGGCCAACTGCTCAGGAAGGAGAGACCGGCTGCTCTGTATTTACCTGAATGGCTTCTTTCCGGAAGGCTTTGATGCAATCCATGCTCTTCATAAAATAGGCTGTTTCGTTCGTATCCAAAAACTGTTCAATGTGATTTATCAGCTGTTGACTCACTAGAACAGAAGACAGTGAGTTTTCCTCAATGGGAATGATGCTTGCAGGAGTGCCTGCCTCTGCGTGCACCTGCAAATATGCACTTCGGGGCTGGGTGGGGGGGTGTCTCACTGTCATGGGCACGGAGCCATACTTCTTTTCAGAGGGCTGGCTGGGGAGGGGAGATGAGGTGCACGATGCTGATCCCCAAGGTCTCCATTTGAGATGTTTGGGTCATTCTTACTGATATTTACCAAGAACTAAAATCTAATTTCTATCACCCCTGTTGATATTTACCCAGAGCTAAAATTTAATTTCACAAGTGCTAAGAATTAAACCTAAATGTTCCTTTTGGGATTTCAAACAAATACAAAGTTGCTAGTTCTAAAAATCTGTTGGTGATGCTTTTTTTTTTAATTTTCACCTCAGGATTCAGGGGCTATTTGGGTAATTCAGAACTGCAGTTCCTGGTAGAAAATATACTCTCCTCACTCCCCAGGTTCCACCTTGGATAAGTGCCCAATAGTTCCTGGCAGTGAAAAGTAAAGAGCGGAAGACAGCCATCTTCTACCAGTCCCAGTCGGTGTTTGTTGTAAAAGATACCCAGTTCTTCTACAAAGAAAAGACCAGGCCTAGACTTACGTTCCTTTACAGTGGGAAACCACTGCTACTTAGCTTTTTGTCCTTGGCTGGACCCAAATGTTTTGTGTAGCCACTTAGGCCTCTTTAGCTTATGGTACTTAATAAACAATAATCAAGAGGCTGCAATATGTCAAGTGCTACAGAAAGAGGAAATACAATCATATCATTTTCAAGGAGGGATGCAACTTGAGGATGCTTCAGAAGTGCACACACAGCTCTTCAGGGTGAAAAACAGCACAGGAAGAACTGAAACATACATCAGGATCTGTCGGCCATCTTACTGAGAAAGTTATTCAGAAAAGACAAAGCGAAAGCCGAAACCGACAATTCATGCTTAGTAGTAACTAGATGGAAAAGAAGAGATCAGAAAGGAAGGTGGGGGGTGTGGGAGGGGGTCTTTGACCCTGATTCAAGTTAAAAATGAAGTCCTCGTGTATCTGTCTGTGTATCTTATTAACTGAGTTAACAAGCAGATCAAACACGAACCCTTCCGATCTATGTAAAGTAAATCCAGGAGAGGTGAACATGTCCACTGACGGGTACCCTTCTGCTTGTCCCTGAAACTACCTTAACCGATTCAACAATGTGTGCTGGATGACCACGAATTCTAAGACTGCACATGGGCCATATTCACCGCCTGGACTTCCTAATAGTTCTGAATGCATGTGTGCACAATACTAATGAAAACTCCTTTCAAACTCACCTGTAAGGCTCAAGGCCACTAATTGAATCATGGTGCTCTGGGGCAATGCTCAGTGCCTTAGGAAAAACACGAAATTCAGTGCTATCAATTTATTGCCTAAGGTACCCTGTGAAAAGAACTGAAAACCTAGACAAAGTGTTTTCCAATACAACAGTTTCACAGCAAGAGAAAAATATTCCCAGTGACCCTTTCATCTCTTCTACTGACTAGTGTATGATCTCTATTATATTTAAAATGGAAAGATTAAAGAGCTGTGTCCCTGCAATTCCATATATCTTTACCAAGCTGTTTCGCAGCCGTGAAAGAACAACTGAGTGTAATTCAAAAAAATATCAATAAGGTGCAGATGTATGTTTTTAAACACAGTGAAAAAGAGAATCCTGATGAGTAGGCAGAACTGCACATTATCAAGAAGCACAAGAATCTATCTCCATTGTTGAACCAGGACAGATAAAGTAACAAAAATGCTTGATATTCCCTATACTACTCACTATCCCAGAGAAAGCCAAGCTCTGTTTATATCAGTCTGATATAAAGTCCATTCGGAGTTATATATTGAGGCACAAATAAAAGCCTTTACAAGACCAAAGGCTGTTCATCTCCGAGATTCCAAATTTCTCATTTCTTCTGAAATGAGAGTAAGAGATCACAGCAAGCTAAATGTCTCTCTCTCTCTGCTTTAGTGATTATTTTCATAAATTTATCCTCGTCTGAATTTACTGCATAATTGAGACACATAATATGCTACAATATATTTTGCAAGACATATAATTCAGTTGAAGATAAGATCTTTGCTTTTAAGGCGACTCAAGTCTAATAAGGCATGCATAAATAATGGAAGGTAAATGGGAAAAGGGCATGAGTTGTAGAGAAATAACTGACTGAAACGTTAAAAAAAATTGGTGCTTATGGGAAAATTTTCATGAGTTTAGCAAGGTTGTTAAGCCAGGCGATGAAAAATAGAATTTGGCCATTGTACAGCAGAAAACACGGGAAGCAAAAAGTATAAGTAGATGCAGAAAAGTACAGGGTATGCTTAAAAATGGTGAAAGGCTTACTACATGGAGTCCATGGAGGGGGGAAGGGCTTGAAGGGCAAGCCTGTATGGAACGATCTTTAGAGTTCTAAAAGAGGAAAAGGAACTGATGAAAGAGGCTAAGAAGGCTTGGAAGGGCAGAGAACCAGCAGGCTGTGATATCACAGATACTACCAGAAGAAATTAAATAGGAGAATTCTCCATGGAGTCCAAACTATTACCTAAAGACTGCGAGAAAAAAAATACAGAAAGTGCAAAGGACTAAGGAGTAACCTTTAGGGAGCCCTTCTGCCTGAGAACCTATGCTGCGACTAGATGAAGCTTTCAGCTTTGCAAAAAAAAAAAAACTGCATCCTGACCGAAAATTCCCCCCCCCCCCCCACCCCATCTGCCCCTAACCACACATGGGCAGGCCGTCTTACTGAGAAACTTAGTCGCAAAAGACAAAGCAAAAGTGAAAACCAACAGTCCAGTCTTAGTAACTAGCTGGAAAAGAGGAGATCAGAAAGGAAGGGGGGGGGGGTCTTTGACCCTGTTTCAAGTTAAAAATGAAGTCCTCGTGTATCTGTCTGTTTATCTTATTTATGGCAGAATATTCTGGACTTTGCTCCAGAGGACTCAGAAATACAACTAGATACCCAAACTTCCTGTAAGTCCAGTGACCACAAAGAACCAGATTCTTTGATTTTGCAGATTCCTAGATTCTGTCTAGGAATCACTTGTTACATGGCCTCTGTATGTGGCCCATAATTCTGAATTCTGTCCCTCCTCTTCCTGGACTGTCTTGTGGTTCACTGCCTTTAATGAACTATTTAATAACCAGTGAATAGCTGTGATGGATGATGGATGCGGCAATCTACAGAGTATCAGTTGAAGGATGGACAGAAGATTTCCCTTCCAGAGTGTGGTGACTTCTCATACTTCCCAGACATTTTTAATAAAAATGAAATGAAGAAACAGTTGACAAAAATAGTATTCACCTTTGGAAAGACTACCGTGTGATTTGCCCTTGTTCCCGATGCTGCCCGAAGAAAATGATCACCACAGCACCTTTCTCTGCTTCTACATCAATTACAGGGCTGAGGAATGGCCTGTCAGTCTTCATACCCAGTAAATCACAACCCCAATTATAATCCACCAGAATGCTTTTCAGAATTAGTCAGAGGTTCAATAATACTCATTAGTAGCTAATAGAAAAAATGGTAAAATGGTAACTGGAAGAGCCTTTCATCTTGGGATACTAAGGCACGGAGACCTTCATTTATCTCAAAGAGTCTTCAAAAGCAAAGTCTCTGCTCTGGACACTGAGGTTAGAAATATGAAGAATACATATTCATGCAGCATGTTCCCTTAACCCTATTCAGTTGTTGATACCCAAAATTAGTCTCAGTCGGGTACTACTTTAGTTCACATTAAAAATGCTAGCCACGGGGCTGGAGCGATAGCACAGCGGGTAGGGCGTTCGCCTTAAAAGCGGCCAACATGGCCGACCCGAGTTCGATTCCTCCGCCCCTCTCGGAGAGCCCGGCAAGCTACCGAGCGTATTCGATATGCCAGACACAGTAACAACAAAGTCTCCAATGGAGATGTTACTGGGCCCGCTCGAGCAAATCGACGATCAACGGGAGGACCTTTACCTTTACCTTACCTTAGCCAGGGTCCACAAGCCCTGTGGCCAGGGGCCTGCTTTGCACCGGTGAGGCTAAATCCTAGCACTGCTCTCTCCCCCAATACCGAGTGCCATGCCCGCAACACCAGAATGGTACAACTCCTGGCACACTATAACCACCACCACGTGCGTGTGAGCACCAAAATGAAGCTTTTGTCTGTGACCCCCCGCACCACATAATAATAGTAACAATAACCAAGAAGTGGAAGGGCTGGGGGTGAGGGGTTTTGCCAGGGGCGGGGCAGGGGAAGAGTCAATTTAAAAAAAAAAAGAAAAAAGAAAACACAAAAACCATTATCGAAATTCAGAAGTGCAATATAAGAGGAAAAGGGCAGTGTTTTCTTTCCAATTTGAGATGTATGTATTTTCCTCTCTGGAGAAAACATTAGGACCGTCCCAAGTCCTACAAAATGGACCATCGCCCTTCACGCTATGCAGTGACAAAACCAGACGTGTGGGGTTACATGACTGTCAGCCTCTGGCTTACACTGACTCTACCTCCCTGAGCAGCTGTTTCCAACAAAATGGAAGGAAGCATTTCATTGTGAGTCTTTCCCCCTCTCTGTGAAACAGCTAGAAAAGCAGCAGGCCACTTGCCCGTCACATATAATACATGAAGGATCATAAGGCCCTCTCAGACAATTTTGCCGAATCCAGGCAGTATTCAGAATGCTTCCCCGCATCATTTTTCTCACTATCTCAAGGCGACTTGTGAATTTTGTTTGTTAAAGAGGTGCACATTTTGTAGGTGTCAGCAGTAAAATTCAAACAATAGATTTACATAGTCATGACAATGATACCATTTTTATGTATCAAACCAGACTGCAAAGTGGTAATAAAAATCAAGTACCTAAATCAACATATGGTCAGGTCAAGTGAGAAAAAAGGAGTAGTCACAGCAGCAAATGAAACTCTTTAAGCAAAATCTCCAGTCTTACCACCAGCCAAATCCACATGTTACGTAGAATCA